ATAAATAGTAACTCAAAGATAGTGAAGATATCGGATGTAACAGCTCGATTACTTTGATATACACAGTATTTTATGGAAGCTGAAAGTCGCTTTTAAATTTTGAATCAGAATTGAGCCGATTTAAATTTCTATTAGATTGTAAGATTTGTGCTGCTTATACCTAGTCTAAACAGGTCATTTGAAAATCATTCTACATTGGATTATTCCAATATTTTCAAGAATAAATTTTTAAGTTATTAGAAAATAATCAGATGTCGTGCGACTTGTTTTAACATTTATACCAAGAGATAATTTAATTTAACTTCACCTCTTCCCCACTCCATATCCCCCAACTACTACCTCTAAGACTCCTAAAACTACAGCTAAGTTTTCTGGAAATTTGTTTTTTTATTGTTGTCTTATTTAGGGTCATCTCGAAGCCACTAAGACTGCTCTAATTTCACTTAAGCATTTTTCTTCCAGCATTAAGAATAATTTGTGTATATATTTATTTCCATATATGTAAGTCTGTCACTTTTGTGTAGGTTTTTGTTTGTAATTGCGACACTTTCCACTGTTGACTTGAATAGCAAAAATCCGAAACAAAAACTCTATTCACACCGCCAAAGTATATTTCACGCTAGGATTCACTGTCAACATAAATTCGTTGCGATTGTTTTTTGTAGGCGTTCGACGTTGTTCGACGGTGTTTGGCGTTGTTTGGTGTTGTTTGGTGTTTCTGATTTTATGACTCCTGATGAATTTGTCCAATTGAATTAGCGATGGTGTAGCATCAGGCAGGCCAGAAAATAATCTAAAGCATTTTTGAACATCTTTCGAATCTTTAAAAGGTTTATAAATTTTTAAGTAGAAAAAAATTAAACTAAGAAGTTATGGAAAAGCAAATTTTTAGAATATTAAATATTCACGACTTTAATTGAGACTTCAAAGTGTATAAATAAAACATGTTTTTAAAATAAATAAGTTTACATATTGGAAATTTTTAAATTATATGATAAAATATGATTTTATATAAAATACAAAATAAATTATAATCAAAAAGATAATAATACTAAATAAATATTGCGAACTTGAAAATAAATTTGATATATTAAATTCTCAACGGTTAAATAAATGAATGTCAAAATTATTGTAAATATGAAATTATATATAACAGAATAACGCATTACTGAATAACTATGTTAACGAAAAATATATATTCAATTTTTAGATAACACAATAAGAGTTGTTGCCTATAGAGTATAATTAATATTAAATGTTCAGAATAATTAATTAATCATTAATTGGTATTTAAACATATTAAAGAATAATTTTATTATGCACTTTAAATATAAAATATCACTTTTTTACTTACTTTAGAAATTCAATTTTTTTCATAAATTAATTTAATTCTTCACAGCACTGGAAGTGCTTATAAAATAATTTAAAGACTATTTTTTGCATTCAAAATGACATTATTTTACACACTATTTTTTATAACATTTTACATATATCATTATATTTTACAGAACATTTTTTTAATGAATTTTTCTAAAAATTACACAAACATTAGTTATTATAATATACAATATATATTCAATATATAAAAAATTATGTTTGCTTTATATATTGATGCGATGGTTGTACGTAAAACGATTTAATTTATTTCCCGCTCATTTACACACGATGTTGCCGTAGCTGCGCGCATTTTGGTTTTGAATGAATTTTAATGGTTAACAGCTGTTTTACACATAAAATTTGGTTAATGAATAACTGATAAAGCTTTGAGAGCTTTTAAAATAAACTTTTATTTGTTATCCTGCAAGGATGTGTTTCATTCAATAGCATTTAAATTGCTTTTTATAAAGTTTAAAAGAAATATTCTGAAAGCAACAACTTTACAGAGTCAAACTTTAACATTAACATTTTCATTAACATAACATAACGGACACTGTTAAAAACTAACAGAGCATAGGAAATAAAGTAATAAAAATTCAGTACAAGAACGGCAACTTAGCAGAACTTAAAGAGCGAAAATGAATGTTGCTTTAGGATTTTTTTTGTTTTGATCAAAGTTTATTAATTCCGTTAAAGAGGACATATTCGTACAATTATCCCTGACAAAAATTCTATCTATAAGTATTTATAAACATGCGAATTTTTAGGATTTACTATATAAAAATGTAATATAAAATAAGGCAAAATAAGGGCAAAAGTTTAACCCTTATTAGTAAAATAATATTAATAAAACAATTACCAAAAACCACCACCAAGTCTTAAATCATACCAAGAAATAAAATAACAAAATTTACTACTGCAAAATAGTAAACAAATTTCTGAAAAATTATCAATCTGGATAGACAGCAAAGCAACGAGCTGGTATCCGTTCCAATAGATGTTGAGTATGCCAAAAGTAAAAACTTACATCTCTACTTTTGTGGTAAACTTTATAGGTGGATATAAATCGATATTTTTATCACCAATATATTGTTTTCCCGTCGCGGCTACGAAATTCATATTTTATAGCAAACTCCACTCTTGAAGTTGAAATCGACAATTCTATCACTTATACATTGTTTTTCCCTTCACGGCAACAAAATTTAGATTTCGTAGCAAAACCTAAGCAGCGAGCTCGTGATCACATCGCATCACTAGCGCTGCTTAATTCAAGGCATTCTCAGTTCTCCCATACTCGTCTCGTCTTTTCACTGTTCGAAACAGATAAATTTATTGTAGGACTAAACCTGGGGTTCGGCAAGCTAAACCTCGGCGAAAAAGGTTCATTACAACTTTCTATAACAGCATTCGAAAACTGTTGCCATGCTTGGTGTATTAATAAAAATATTACTTTGCTAACAAACTCTTCAAAACTATGTCTAATAGTCTTAAAATGTAACTTCTTGGTGCTCAATTCACTATACTAAATATTAATTTAGTAAATATATCTTAGAAATATGGTATATCTTCATTTAAATAAATAAAATTTATAAGTAAACTATTAAAACAGGAAGGATTTATTTAAAATATAGAAATAACTCAAATCGATTTCTATGTTCTTTTTGGTGGTTAGCATCGCTTTAACAGTAGAACAGTTCACATATTACTGTTAATTGTAAAAACATTTAGTAAAGACACAAACCATTTATTTTATTTACTTATGTTAATTGTAAGAATATATTATATTTGTAATAAATAAATAGTTTATAAAAATTTATAATAGCTTTATTTGAATTAAACCAACACATGGAGCATACTCTTGTTTAATCACAGTACTTTCCGTGGTGAATTATAAAGAAAAGATAAAATTAATTTCGGTCTCTCCGAATGCTCGTATAACGTAAATCATATATGATATACAATAATTACATCAAACAGAGAAAGGAATTGAATGTAGGGATTAAGTGAATCAATTCATGTAAGCCCATTAAGACAATTGCGACCTCTTGCGGAGCCTAATTATAACTGTGACAATATTGTAGAAAATGCTCGCGATAAATTTTATTTAACGTATACTTATACTTTTATCTCAGTTAGAATATATATACATTTATATACATATATACATTATATTTACATATATATTATATTTGTTATTGCAAAGAGAACATCACAGTATTGTCGCCTATCAATAAGCACGTATTGATGGGACATCATAGGTTATTTCCTAGCATAAAAGTTATCGAAGAACATAAACATGACTATTTAGATATTGATGTCTTTGGTGCATAAGAAGAAATGGATTTCTGATTCAAGCTTGCGATTTTGGGTTGTCTATGCATCACTTCAGTTAAAACGTTTTGCAGCTTTAAAATGAGAATATTGTAATAAATGCTCAAACCTATGGTAATTAACTAATATTTTTCTGAATATAGGTAGTTCAATATATGACAATAACCTTCCTTCCTATGACAATAAAGAATTTAGTGAATCGGCGGTTATTACAATGGGTACTTGACATAATAAAAAGTAAAGCTACAGTTTAATACCACTAACTATTATCAAGCTACTAACCACTAACTATTACAATGTAATAAGTAGTATTTAAATATATGTTAACAGAAAAGTATATAGATTGTAGAGAAGTTTTGCGTGCAGGATATTAGTTAAGTAGGAACCGGAATCTTGAGTGTATCTATGAAAAGAACAAAATCATGAAAACTCAAAAAGTAAGGAAGTCGAAGAGTTCACTTAAGAAAGATTTGCATTAATTTTTTTTTAAATTTTACAATCATTAGTATATGTTATGATGGCAAGTAACTCCTGATTTTTTAATACTATGTAGGTATTTATAGTGTCCATGCAATAATACACAATTGTACAATTATTTATTGCAAATACTTTGTAACTACCATTTTAAAAGTGAAAAATAATATGTATTTAAATGCGTATAGGGTCATAATCTGACTACTATATAGGTAATATAATAGATATTGACAATAGTAATTGCATTGCTATATTGGTGTGCTGCAAACTTGATTCTGAATTCCTTGATATAAAACTGCTGTACTCGGAATACAATTTTAGATTATTAGGCAAGGTTGAACGCCAAAAACTATAGACTCGGATATTAAGCAATTTTTGAATAATCGAATCTGATTATTTTTGCTCAAAATGAGAACCAGAAAGAAACTAAAGTAGATTGTTAACTGATTGCAGCAACAAATTCACCCTTTTTACGTTTCCAAGATTCAATTTTTTTCAACTACTCAATATGTCATCACTCATTCTGTGGGGTTGTGGCTTGCTTTATCAAACACAACCAGAAGCTAAGTTACGGAAGCTAATTTAGTTTCTAATTAACTAAGTTTAGCTAGAATTTCTTTTAACAAATTTTTATCGGTTAGAGACTATTCCGTTTCCAATTAATTCTTTTGTTTATTTGTCAAATGTATGTCAAATGTATGTCAAATTTTATGTAAGATTTTGAAATCTTTTTATGGTTTGTCCAGTAAGTTAGCTTGAAGGTATTGCACTAAAAGCACTTAATAAATAATTGAATGAATATATATGAAGTAACTTACCTTTGCTGTCATTTGTGGCTCCATTTCTGCTATCATTTCTCAATGCAGTTAAGGCCAGTTCAACAATGTCAGAATGTGCCATCAAGTTGTTCTTCGACTAAAATATATGCAATATTTTGCAATTCGATTTGTTTTTATTTGTTCTTTAATTACGGAAAACTCACCTTTTCAATATCGTCCATCATGACAGCATTTATCTTTGGCATTTGTTCACTTTTCCCAATCGCATTGACAATCAATTTTAAATCGTCACGTCGATCCTGTGGATATGAAAGCCATTAAATCTTATTTCAGAATAAAACCAAATTTAGCGAAATAGCTTTGAATTAAGTTTCTAAAACTTTAAACACACCTTGAAGAAAATGAAGAGTTGACTTTACATTCAAAAATATCTAAATATCAAAAAATTTTCAAAAAAATATTAGACCGAATTTTTTTGTAACAAAAAATCTTTTTTTTTATTAAAAATGATTTTATTGAAGTTTCAACACAACAAGCATAACATGTTTAGTCAAAAAATTCAATATTTTTTATGATTTCAATATTTTGTATTTATCACAACGAAAAAGAAATAACATTGGTTTGGATTTCTCTATGTTTGAAAGACATGAATTTCTAACCACAGTGATAGCTTACGAATACGCACGTGACACTCGCGTGACACTCACGAGATACTCGATGCACAAAAATCAGATACCAAATAAAACTCTTTTGGAGTCCAAGCACTTGTCCAAGGACCAAACTATGCAATCTTAGAAGATAATTTCTTATTGTGAGAAATTTCTTATTATCTTTCAATTTAGATACATTTTGGAACTCCTGTGCAATGCAGTTCACTTTTTTTATATCTTTTATACGGAATGCGCTTAAAAGCTGTACTGCGGCGGCACGTCCGACATAAGTTCAAAAAATTTCATACTAACGCAATAAGCAATTCTTGTAGACACGCCGCGAGCAAATCTTGAAAAAAAGACGCGGGCGTTTGTGTTACTTTTGCTGTCTGGGAGCGTTACGTTTTCATTTTCGAATAAAAAATGGTGTTGATTTTTCCAAGACTTAATGAGAATTTAAACTAAACGTAATATAAAACATAAATTTTGAAAAATTGTTGCTCATTTTATTTATTTATTTTGATGTTGATGTTCTTTTCACATTCTACCGCACTTTAAAATTAGCTTTTTTACTGCGGCACTTTTAGTGTTTTTTGATATTTTTAGTTGGGCTTGATTTCGCCCCCGCAACACAGAAAATTGAATTATGTTCCAAGAAACTTAAACAGTAGTGCATCGAGCACAGTGGAACAAATAAATGAAAATATTTAGCAATGATAGAAATTCGCAAATATATATATATACTTTATACTTCTAACGTCAATCAGCTCAGCTATCTAACATTTAAGAAATGTGAGTCGACATTCAAATTGTGCTTCTGAGTTAAACTCTGGCATAGTAACGCCAAGCCCATTCCACTATAAGAACTAAGCGGAATGTTCTATTGGTTTTTGAAAAATGATTCCTTTCTATTACGTTTACAATCATCGCAATATAATGATTTTTGTGAAATGTTCCCACACCAATCGGATTCGCAGATTGTAATTAAAAATTTACTGTGTGAAATTGTGTTCCATATAAGGACTGTTTCTCGATAAATATAAGAATAAATTCCCTAAACAATCACTTTTGCATTTATACTAATTTATTAGTAAATAATTTGAGTGTTTCAATATAAACCCATTTGCTTTTTTAATGTAATAATGTATAGTTCTATTTCTATTTCTATTTAACTATCCTGATTTTGGCTTAATTCTAGTTTCCTGAGTGCGTCGCTCGGACACCGGGCTAGTGGCTGGCAACTATACTTTCGAATCTGTCAAGGATTTCATCTACCTTGGCGCCGCCGTAACGAATACAAATGATGTCAGTCTGGAGATCAGACGAAGAATCACCATTGCTAATAGGTGCTACTATGGGCTCAGTAGGCAATTGGGATGTAGAGCCCTCTCTCGACAAACGAAACTTACGCTCTATAGGTCGCTCATCCTCCCTGTGCTTCTGTATGGCGCAAAAGCATGGACGTTATCACAGAATGATGAAGCAGCACTGGGAGTGTTCGAGAGAAAAGTTCTTCGTAAGATCTTTGGTCCTCTACGAGTTGGCGACGACTACCGCATTAGAATGAACCACGAGCTGTACGAGCTTTATCACGACATTGATATAATTCAGCGCATTAACATCCAGCGGCTTCGCTGGCTTGGTCATGTCGTGAGAATGGATGAAGACGCTCCGGCGAAAAAGGTGTTTGAAGCAGTAGTCGGCGGAAGAAAACTTAGAGGTAGACCGTGTCTCCGGTGGAGTGATCAAGTTGAGGGAGCACTAACTGGACTTGATATATGAGACTGGAGAAGGCGCGCACGCAGCAGAGGCGCCTGGGGAGACATGCTGCGTCAGGCCGAAACTCGGTAACGGGTTGTTATGGCCACATAAGTAAGTAAGTAAGAGTACGTCTATTTGACAAAGGATGTTAGTAGAGTTTGCTGTTTTTGCAACTTTTTCCACTAAACCATATGCCGAACTAGTTTACTGTCTTGAGATATACACATTGACTAAAGTGATAAAAATTGCATATTCGCGCCCTTTAAGGCCGACAAGTATATGCAATTTTTACACTAAATTTCACAGTCGTCTGTTAGTACCAAGTAGACGCGCTCTGGCTTCTCGAAAACTATGCTATATGGTCATATAGTGTACTGGGCTAAATTGTTAAAAATAGCTGTCAATTATTTAATTTACTAAAATCCGTTGCTAGTAAGCGTGCCGGAAAATAGGAATGAGTCCCCAACACTTTACATTCAAATTTAATGAAAATAATTAAAAACAAAGAAGTTTCTATCGAAATCGCTAGTTGGAATTAGTTTTTGATGTGATATTTATTCAAGACCCATCACCGAACATCATTTCTTTGATGAGCATGAAAAAGTTAAAACCAAATTACAAATAAATTAATATAAATCTATAATTGATTTTCTATTGAATGAATTGAATAATGTCAAGATCATGAATATATTATGATGATGACGAAGCTGCAACTCACAGTACTTGAAGTATTGGCATCTGTAAAGGTAGTCGTAATGCTCATTTAAATGAAATTGTTTCTCACCAATATTTAAGTTAATATCTATGTATGTATGTGTTATGTATTGAAACTTCAATACATAAACTGCGACATTAACATATGTTAATCTTATCAATGCGTTCATGTGTGTTGTATAGTATAGTTTGGTTAAGAATATATACATATGTATACTCGGGCTTAATATAAGTTCTCAAGGAATCAAATTTAAATCACTTTCATCAATTAAGCGTTTTTAGGAATTCAAATATACTTTCAATAATTCTTGCTTAGTAATTTTTGTATTATTAAAATTCTTAACTCTGCAATGTGGATGAATATGCTGAATTCTAGACTGTTTAAGAAAGACAGTTTACTGTGTTCTATTAGAACCACAGTAACAGTAGTTCTTGTTTTAGTTTAGATTGAACTAAATTTGTGATAAATGAAATGTTAACACTACTGTATGTTTCAAAGTTCATGCACATAGTCCACTTTCTTCTTAAGATCTAATTCAATAAAAATATAACCAAAAACAAACACATTTGCTCCAACTACTACCTTCTCCCCTCTCCATTAATGAGCGCCACGAATTTCAATTACCGAACAAATCTCTGCAAACAATGTTTATTATTAAACAGAAGAGTAGAGCACCAAAGTTTTGTTCTCTCTGAAAAAATAAAATATTTCTCTCACACACTTGTTGTTTGAGATAGAGTGGGACCATTCTGTAGGAAAAGCAGACAGACAGTAACCCAAATAATACAAGAGGGCAATTAACTTGTCTTTGGCGTGAGCATGGAAAGCCCCGCATCCATTTAAATGCAGTAATCAATCTTTCGTACTGTGCAGTGATCAATTGCATTGTTAAAAGATTGTTTCCATACGCAACGTGCGGAAAAACATATGTTTCAAATGAATATAATTTTCTTTCATTTTTCGGATGATTTAATTGCTTAAATGTATTTGAAGGAAATAGACAAATAATTTAGTTGGACAGTACACAGATGTGGGAAATGCAATTTGGCGTTTGGCCCAAATATCCACAATACAGTAAACTGTGGAATTGGATTGTATTTTTCTACGGTTCATAGCTGTTACTATGTGCAAATATAAATGAAATGAAAAATTAGCTAATACAAATATAAGAAAATAATTAAAAACCACAACTGCAACCAGATTAAGAAATATTGATTCATTACGTACATTCACTTCATTAAGCCGTCGTTCCAGTTCCTCTATTGAATTATGGTCTACTGGCTTTTCAATCAAATCATTAATACGCTTGAGTCCTTTGCAAACTAATTCCTCTACATTGATACCTTTTATGCTCAACTTTTCTAAAGTGGAACGAGGACTTGATGTTTCACCGTTATCGTTGGTCGCAGTTACTTCAGGAACTTTAGACCTAAAAATAGCAAATAAATCTATTAATAATTGGAGTTACGAAATAAAAAAAAAATCAAACATAGGCCAACATACGTGGTTAAATAAAATAAAATATAAATAAATTAAAATATAAATAAATTAAAATATAAATAAATTAAAATATAAATAAATTAAAATATAAATAAATTAAAATATAAATAAATTAAAATATAAATAAAATGAAAATAAATTCTGAAAGTAAAACATATAAAACAAAGATAAAAATGTAGAAGGCAAGTGACATGAACAAGGACTATATTATAGTAAATATCATATAACAATAAATATAAAACGTATTATTAAGTTTTAGAAATTAAATACAGTACGCTTATGTTCCAAAGGTTATCGAGACTATTGATACGGAATGATTATCAAGAAATATCTATTTTTACTAATAATGTAATGAACCATAATTTATATTGTATATTTTATAGCCTAGAGTATATATAACAACACATCTTTACATTTATATTCAATGTATCTATATATTTATTATATTTGCAAATGAACAATTCATATAAATCGCAATATTTACAGCTAAATTGGGAAGTTTGATGAAATTGATCGTGTACGTATAAAATAAATAGGAAATAAAATAAATTAGATTTCGTTTCAGATTACAACTGATAATCACATTACTTAAGTTACAAGAAATATTTACCAGACAATATTTTAGGTTTACGTTATTTGTATAACATATATGCAGGATGTTTCATTTTAAAGTATTTTTACTTTATAAAGTGAGTCCTTGATGTTAAGAAATGCAGGTCTTTGTTCTTGACATGTGCCGGTACAGTATATCATCATATTACAATCAACAGTTAATATTTTTGTTTATTAATAATATAATTAATATGCAGATGTACTACAAATTTTATTAGAAGTATTTTTCATGTATCATGCACTGCTTTACTGCAATCAGTCTTCGAAGTGGACTGCTTGTGCTATCATTATGAGTAGTAAAAAATAAATTCTTCTACTGAAGGTGTTTTTCCGATAGTCGATACTTTGACCTTCTGTACTTCGGTAGTACACACTTTTTTTGTTTTTTGAAACAAGGATTTTCGTCTTAATGAGCAAATTCTTTAAAGCCAAAGATCTTGTATTATATACATGAAATTAATATGTATTGTATTGAACTATTCAAAAAAAAATTACAATTATAAAACTATTATATATTTATAATATGATAATAATATACAAACAGATATGATAATAATATACAAACAGACAGTAAATAAGCTAAAATGACGGGTAAACTTGAAATATTTTATATTAAACATAGCAATTTTCTCCTATAAGCATATATAATTAGATAAATAAAACAAAATAATAATACAAAACTTTTTTAAAAATTGTATTATTTAACTACTGACCAATTAACCCGTTAAAAACAAAATTATTATTACAATTAATTAGTAAACAAAACATAATATAATGCCAATAGTTGTACAATGACCTGAAAGCCTTTTCTATGACTAATAAAATAATAGTAATAATAACAATGATAAAGATAATTTAAGTTAATATACAAGTAATATATGATGATAAATTATAGTATGACGTACTTTGACTGCTGCACTTCACGAAATTTTTCACGTAAAATAATTTGTGTTTTCATTACAAGTCGAGAAACGCTGCCCTGTTTACCATGCGTTTCAAGCACCAGTGAGTCCCCCTGAGAAATTAAAGTTGCAGCATCAGGAGCAATTATTAATTTCAGATCTTCCACAGCACTAAAAAAACCAATAAACCAATTAATGGAATCATTTCGTTATAGGTAAATATTATAAGCAACTTACGCTTCACCGTCAGGGCAATTTTCTATAAGTTCCTTAGTGGTTTCCAATTTTCTAATCATATATTTGGACATCTTCTCAAACTCATTTACTCTTTGTTCTAAAGATGAGTCTGATATGCGGACGTTGTTACTTAATATTTCCATATCCGGACTCTGAAGTGTTATATTAGAATCATCTATGGAAGTGGAATTTGACAGTACTTTGTTATGGCACGAGTCCGATTTTTTAGTTGAGGGTGTTTCCATGCGACTCTACCAAATAAAAATAGTCTTTATTAGTAAAATAAGTATGATTTTCATTTCAAAAACGATTATTTTTAATTTTTTGTATTAATTTCAATAATTTTCCAATATTAATTATTAATTATATTACCGTATCACTATCGGAATCAAAAGTTGGTGTCATTTCCATTGAGAAGCGCGGAATCTCTTCATCGTCAGAAAAAACCAAAGGTTCTACATCAAAACTAGTTTCCTTATCAGCATTGTAAAAACTATTTCGTTCTAGTTCAAGTCCACTTAAACTCTCAGTTGGTATTTCAACTGTCATTTTCAATTGACGCCAACGCTTAGCTTTAGGCTGCTTTAATTCAGTTTCTTTGGAATCGTCATCGCATTCCTCTTCCGAATCACGTAATATGTCACGTTCATTTTCCATACGTTTACGTTTTTCCTCAAAAGAAATTCTTTGCTTTTCTACACGCAATATCGGAGTGCTAGTGTTATTAGCTTCGGGTCTCAACTCTACTTCTTCGCTAAACATAACTTTAGGAGACTCACAGAGCGAACGTTTGCTTTTACTTCTTCGAACTTCTTTGCCGTCAACATCTATTCGCATAGACGAATCTGAGTCTTCAGATAGATCTATAATTTGTACAGTTTCTACATATTCTGGCACGAAAGGCTCAACACTCTCTAAAATGTTTACTGTATCGACTATTTCGCCTATGTGTGGCTCCAACTCTATGTTCTGCACGGACATTTTATCGTTTTGTATATTTTTTGCTTTGATTTCGACCATTTGGGCGTGATTTTCTCCACTTTTGCTTTTTGGCAACTTATGGGAATTGTTTCTAACTTCATTCTGTTCTGTTAAACTTTGTGGATTTAGAGATATTTGAGAAAATAATGAACTCGATTCAGCCAATCGAAATGTTTGCGGAGGCAATAAGTCTGGGAGCACTTGCTGCTCAATAGTTTGTTCCTCTTTCATAACGCGTGTTGGAGAGTTTGATTCAATACTGGTTTGCGTTGTATTTGCATCATTTGCCGAAGGTGTTCTTGCACGACGCTGTCGCACAGTGTCACTTACAATAACAATTTCAGTGTCTTCATCTAAATTTGTATGTGTCTTGATTGACGAATCAGCAGGTAAGTCAGCTTCTAGTGTTGAAGCTTCATCAAAAAGGGTCTTAACCGCATCCTGTGAAAATTTTAAGTATTATACAAATGTCTCCAAAGTATGTCTTTTTATGACTGCAGTTTACTGTGAACCAAGTTAACTAAATAATGTTGTGAAGAACGCTTAAAACTACATTCTTAAAAAATGTTAGGCGAGTTTTAAATTAATGTGCATACTTAAGTCGCCAATATGTTATACAAAATAAGTCTCCAATAGCGTTGCCAATACCAAATTGCATTGGGTAAATGGTGATGTTAATATTTATTTTGATGTTAAATAATGGAAAGGGACATTTACAGATGTTTTTTAAATGCTCTTGCCGGTATTTGCCGGTATTTGCACTAACCACTTTTATATATATATATTTTTTTTTTTTAATTTATAAAACTCTACAAAAATGACACCAACTTTCTGCTGTTGAAATTTTTAGTGATACACTAATTACCTGGGTAGCGTGGGTAATTTAAAATGATAAAATGATGTGCATAAACTAATTATATATATGTTTATATCATTTTACATAATGAAATTATTTCTAAAGCATTATTATCACTACGAGGGCTAGAGTAAGGTTACATATTAATAATAAGGTGAACAGAAATTTTAATAGTAAAATAATAAATGTGCAAGTTAATTAAAATTAATTAAAAATAGGTTTTAGTTAAGCGTTATAGGCAGTTTTGCTAATAATAGATAATAGTAAATGTTTAAATAAATATTTTAAATATGACATAGAAATAATTTTAATCAAATTTAAATTTAAAGTAGATAAATGATATTAAGCAAATCCCAAATCAGAACGCAGTTAATCAATAAAGCAGGAACATTTATCATAAAATGTATTTACAGTTTGCATTTTAAATGAAGTCTCCAAATAATACTTACCACTACAATTGCAATCACTTGTTGCTGTAAGTTCTCAATTTCAGGATTCGAGGGTACATTAATCTGCTTTAAATCATGTTCCATTGCCCTAGAAAACAGAGCAAGCAATTTTTAAAACAATATTTTTATTTACAAACAATATAGGTTAGGACACACCTTAGAGTTTCCAACGATATATTATCCAAATTTTGTAAAGTGGTTTTCATTTCGGTGAGTCGTTTTATCACATCAGCGCTGGTATGCTTTAAGTAAGTGGCTTTAAGCTTATCAATCCTCTTACGTGTGTCCTCCATACAGGTCTGATCACATGATTGCCTGTATTCTTCGTAAATGTCTTCACATTTTTGTAAGACATCTTCCAGATCTAAAAATACAGTGTTGCGTTCATGCATTTCTTGAAGTGCCTCAAAACGAAGTATAAGCTGTTCGGCACTATCAAAGCAATCATCAAGTTGATGTGCTAGTTTCAATAAAGTCTCCAAAAAGATTTTAGATTGCGTTACATTTTCTCCCAACGCATTGTAGAGGTGCTTTAGAGCGTCTATACGTTGACTTAAATGCTTCGGTGATTTTGTGAACTTGTCTTCACAAACTTTGCGCCCCGTTTTTATAGTGCTCTCAATTTCAGACTTAATTTCTGACAACGTACGATAAATTTGCTAAAATAATTAAAGTTAAAATAGTTATATAAGTTACTTTTTAATATAAATTTTTTTTATATATAAAATATTTTTATATTTACCAAGCACTTTTGGTACTGTATTTGTACAGTGCTCGGACCAGCAGAAGCTACATCTAACACCAGTGTAGACCGTTCCACGTTTCTTAACTCTGCTACAGCACGATTCAGACGTGATTCATAAGCTGGCTGTGGGGCAGTGCACTTGTTCAGTTTAATTTGACATGCCTTAAAGCGTAACTCCATAAGATTTAGCTGTTCTTGTAAGCGGTTAGCAGCTTCCAGCTTTCCATTGCGTGTAAGTTCCATTATAACATCTTCGATTTCTTTGAAGGATTTTTCATTTACCTCAAATTCTTTAACCAACCGCTTTAGAAGCAGAAACAGTTAGTTTTATTATTCAATCTTCTAGCATTATCTTTCATACACTTACTTGAAACTCTTCAGGAAGATCCTCAATTGTAACATCATTTTCCAGATGCTCGCTGAGTATCTCATCGACACGGGTAAGCCAAGCTTCGAATTGTACTATACATTTTTCAGATTGTTCAGCTTCACTGACTTCTTTCTCTAATATTTCAGTACGCTGTTTAGCCTTATATTGTAGTTGAGTCCACCGCTCTACAATTGTGTCGATCTCTTCTCTTACTGAGTTGGCCATAAACTCATTTTCAATTAGCTCACTGCCAATTTCTTGAATTTTTTCAAGCCATTCATCGGAATGCGCACGTAATACATTCTCCAAATCCTAATAGAAAAATATTTTCAAACAATTAACATTTACAACTTTTTCAAATAGTATTAGTACTTACATCCAGCTCTTCTATGATTTCTTCTGCATCTGCATTTTCTGGTGTACTGCGGATTTTATTTTCCAGACGATCTAAATAACCCGATTCAGACACCATAAACTTTTTAAACTCACCTAACTGTGTTGATATATGTTCTAGTAAAGCTGTTTTTGCATAAACTAATTCCGTGACCTGCGTCCAACGCGCGTTTAAACGTGTAACTTTCTTTGTTAACAAGGCATATTCTGAATCTACTTTTTCTTCTCCCGTCGATTTGAGTTCGTCTATTTGTAATAAAATATCCCCGCCGTGATCGTTCAGCTCTCGAAAGTTATCTGTCTCACGTTCACATGTTTCTTTCAATGTCTGAAATTTGGATTTTATCTGGAAGAGTTCATTGGAGTTCATTATCTCGGAAATTTTCGTTTTTGGCGTATTTATTTCGAGTTCGCTAAGCCAATCTTCTGTTTTATTCAAACGGTCGAAAATCTCTTCAGTTTTGGCAAGTATTTGTGTTCTTTTGTATACATAATCCTTATGCAAATTCTGCACATTTGCGAAAAATTCATTCAATTCCTTTATTTGGTTCAGCAAATGTGTGCGATGTGTATTTTCCGCATCCTTTATAATAATCTCGCTGAAGTTACGAGCACTTATAACGTCGATTTCGATCTTACGCAACTCCATGTTAAAACGTTGATTATCCATCTCACTGTTTCGGACATTTAAAGTATCTCCATCTTGTTTAAGTGTGGACTCTAGTTTACGTAAAACCACAATGATGGCGTTATATTCCGCTGTAAAGTGATTTAGATTTTCAATTGCAGTCGTTTGTTTTATGATTCGTTCGTTCAAGTATTCTGGAACCTTTGCCCAATTTTCAGCAAATTCAGTGGTAATTGCATCGGGTCGTCGTAAGTACACAAAATCATAATCAATTTTTAAGTTTTCTAATTCATCTAATAAGTTGTTTAATGCCTTTTGCTGTGCCTGCATTGGTTCCAAGTCATCCACCAACACTTGCGCCTTTACTACCTCTGCGACAAATTCTTCTAATAATTGTAATCTTTGATTTACCTCATCCATGCCACCTTCTTCTCTAATTAAAGTAATAATGGCACGTTTCATATCATTCCAACTATCATAGAATATATTAAAATCTTGTTTCCACTCTAACATTTCATCACCCATTATAGCTGCGGACTGCTTAGCTGCGGTAATCTCCGTTGACAATGATTCCATGTCACTTAAACGTTGCTCCAAATCAGCCTTACTAGCCGTACTGGCATGCTGGCTATACCAATCTCGTGAATCAGCTAAAACAAGTTTGAAGCCAGTCAAGCTGTTGTTGAACTTTTCTCTCGTGAGTAACTGTGTGGTTTCTGTGGATAGCACACTAGTACGATTTTTAAGTTTCATATATCGCTCATCAATTACTCTAATATGTGTCGCTTCCATTATCAAATTTCGTGAAGGTTCCTCTTGCTCACAGAAATGAAAGAGTTCCTTAAGTTCTTGTGCCATATTTGTACGATCGTAAAGCTCATTCTGCACTTCACATACTATTGTGCTTTGTTCACGCAAGCTTTGACGTTGCAAACTCTGCAGGCGATCCTCAATGTCATCCAGAAAAAGAAACGCCTCATTTATACGTTCATCTAGCAAATAAAAGTTATCTGTATTACGAAGCTTACGTTTTTTGCTCAGCAATGAAGTTCCATTTTGAGCTGACATATTATTATCAATTTCAGTTTCGTCTTCCTCCGATTCTTCTTCACCAAACTTTATAATCATTTGGAAATCCGTCCAACCATCAGGACGCAATGCACGACTCTCATCATAAGACGCACGGTCACGTCCGAACTTAAATCCTTTTTCTTCAATGCGTACTGTCTGCACCTCAACAATTTGCTTCAACGCTTCCAAACGATCTTCGAAATTCTCTAATTGTGCAAGCACACGCTCAGTGCTGTTAGTGTTTTCTTGCGGACATGTGCTAATCATTTGCCGCAAGTCGTTTAGGTAGCGCTCTAGTTCAAGCAAATCCTTCGCACAATAATTCAGATCATTTATTCGTTTAGTAATACTTCCCAAGTCCAGAACATCCTTACTTTCCATTGCTTTAAGGTCCTGTTCACGTGTGTTCAACCAACGATGAATGGATTTGTATTGTTGCAATTTCTCAATTCGTAAGTCGCTCCATTTAATCACATGGGACCACCGCTCGCCTAACGCTGTCAGCTTATCTTCTAAATCACAAAAGTTTCCTGACTCATCATTTATAATCACAACCATGTTGCCCAAACTGTCAACCAAACTTTTTTGTGCGTGCAAATCGGTTTTCAAATTTTGTGCATCTATTAGTTGCTGTTGGAGCTCTGGTAAACTGGTACCAATATCGGTCATATGTGATATGCGATCTTCGACAGAAGTGAGGAATAAACGTAATTTTTCAATTTGCTTTGTTTGAAACTCTGCCAAACGCATCAGAATACTTGACTGCACACTTAACGCACGTAATCGCAATGTTTCCCAACGTTCATTCAGCAAAACCATTTGCTGACGTACTTCGTTTTGATCTTCAACTGACAGTCCCGAATGTTTCTGAGACTCACTAATCAAATTAGAGCCTTCTTCTAGCGCTTCGCCTACGTACTGTTGGTGTTCTGTTAGTTTTAACATAAAGTGCTCATTTTCATGAAACTGCATTTTAGCGCTAAGGAAATCATGTGGCTCTGGTAAGTTGTGTGACAAAATTTGTTCGTCTTCTAATAGCAAAGTTAGCACTGCTTCTAAAGCAGCCTGATACGTGCTAATTTCTACCGATGCATTAGTAGCAGTACTCAGTGGTCTCGACTTATCATGTAAGTGTACATAATCTATTTTGTTTCCATCAATTTCAATATCCATAATGCTATGTGTGACATCTGCATGTATCTTTTTACCATCATCTAAGCTACCGGGCGTACTACTCTTGTCTGAATACACCTCCTCTGCGCTATCCAATGGCACTTCATCCAAATCAGTTATATTAACACTTGGCGGTAATACTTCCTCTGCTTTCTCGTCGAAAGCTACAGTTTCACCATCACTGTCAGTGCGTTCTTGACTACGGCGAGTTTCAATCGCATGATACAAGCACATCACATACATTTGTATAGACTTGTGATCCGGTTTATGCGTATGTACATCTTCTGCATCTAAGAGTTTCTCAATTCTAAAGTATGTATGCGCTAAGTCAAAAGCTGTGTTTAGACGCGCTAATGGATGCTTCGTTAGGGCAATACTTAAATCAATATCATCTAAATTTGAATCGAGTATCATTAAAAATGCTCTACCATCAGTCCAACTCTTTGAGAAATCCGTAACATCTAAACCACGAGTTATTGTGAACTGTCTCGCCCAAGCTAGTAGTGATTTTTCGATGCCATTAACTGAATGACTTTTGACTAGGCTCTGTCCATTGAATTGCAACGCAATAAGCCAAATAAGACCCAACGTAAGCTTTTGGTTACCGCCGACGATATCATCACTGGATATGTTCACCAATTTTACGCCATGTTCTTGAATGACTTGCAGGACCTTATTTACATTGTTAATGTGATGCACACGCATACGTCCTTTTTCTGGTTTCTGATATATGAAAATAAGTGGACATGTATAGTTGACGTTGAGTAATGAGTCATTTTTATTGAAAAAATAAAAGTAAAAGAATATTAATAGAATTATGGTGGTATAATATAAATCGTATGCTTAATATTTGCTTCTTATGACAGGTAAAAACATTTGAAGAGTATCAAGAAAAATTCATTTTTCCTTCCAAAGGATAAAGGTGATGTGCGTCATTTCTACAGAAGTTATTTACATTTAACCAAGGCTAAACATTGAAGTGTAGTATGTGTTCTTATTTAATATGTAATATGTAAGCAAGTCAATGTTTATGTACTTGACATATTACACTGTAATTTGAATGAAATTAAATGAAGCAGCGGGTAGGTAAGGGGTGAGAAAACATATCTTACCTTTAGAATAATATAATAAATTAAGAGCTTTTAATTTAAAGGCTTTGAAGGATATTTCAATTTCGTATTATCAGTATTAACTCTGAAAGATGAGTGAGTAGGTTAGGTCTGTTTGAGGCGGCGATCTTGACTTATTGGTATCCCTAGTCTGTTACAATGCTACTAAAGACTACTTGTACATATTAGATTTTACATGTTGCATGTTGCATGTAATATATCTTTAACAAATTTTTACGTGAAGCTCATTTATGTATACATTTTGTGAATTTTATCTGTCTTTAATTACCATGAAAATGTGTCTGTTTCTCTTCAACTTGCAAAATTAAAACTCAATTTAAAATCGTTTATCGCTGCAACTAAAACTCTGAAGATAAAAACGCTGAACAAATTAAAAACGGGTGATGCAGTCGCAGCTAATGCACCAGACAACTGATGCCACGCAATTTATGTAAATGTACGTGTCAGCCTGAAGCAACGATTTTTGCACCCACAATAAAATTTTACTTTCATTTTCCGAATTTCACGAATTTCTTCGCACAACTGCTCCATGCGAAGCTGCGAGCAAGCCCGCCACTCAATTCGAGCTACGTAAATATGCAAAAATTGTGCATACAAGTAAACTCCACAACTACAATAACTACGTTTGGCACTTGAAGTATCCTTGAATTTTTCTTTATAGAAAACACTTGCTGCGTTTATATGCATTAGCATCAGTTTATAAACGCATTTCTTTATCTCGCAAATATTAAAAAGTGTTGAAGCAAAAGCATCTTACCAATTGAGACTGTGTTAGCACACTGAGCAAAGCTAGCAGACGGTTCCCATCTCTTAGATCAGTGAATAAATCATTTATTTGAGGACACTGGGTTTTTCCTAAATGTGAGTTGATCCATTTAGTAAAAGTTTTCTTCTGTATGTCCTGACGTTCATCTGAAAGTAAAAAGCATAAAAAAGTCACGTCAACAATAGTATCACAAACACCTTACATAAACATTATAAAAAAAGCGGATTAGAAAGGATAATGTAATATAAATAACCAAAGCTAGTTTCACTTCAGCTCTGCTTCGGAATCCATTCACCTTTGACAATGTTCGCAGGTTTCAGCTTCACAATAAAAGTCATAATGCATGTGACTATGAGCAAAATCGCAGGATGCGAATGTTAGTGCGAATGTTAAACTATTTGCCTATTTGCCTATATGCTTAATGCCGTTTGTGGTTAAATGCTTTATCGCGCTCCAACAATGCCACAAACGCTCCTTTGTTAAGCCTTTCGCTATTGTATGTTGAAATTTGTCGGATTTGCTTAATAGCTTAGGTGGCATCCGTACGTATGGCTCCAACCTGTTGGTCGCTAAAGCGTTACCGCAAAATAACTGCCAACCGTGCACGCCTGTGAATTGGTATCTATTTTTGATTTAGTATCACGTTGCACTTGCGAGTCAAGATACATTGCTAATGAACATGTTTTTGCCAAAGTGTAAAACGTTGAGAATCAATTAGCGTAACATTAAGTGGCATCGACACATTTATCGCTTTGCGGGAATATATTTTTTGTGGGTTAGAGGTTTGGCTGGTGGTTGTATGCCTGGGCTAAATAAATGAGCTAACGAAGTTCCGATGCATAATTGTTCCCACTAGGCGTTTCATAGATTAAAATTTTAAAATTTATCTTAACTGCAGGTTATGTATATGTACGTATGTATATTTTAAATCACACAGAGACTAGACAAATTGATTGAACTATATCCATGTGTTACTTGTCTGGCTAAAAGCGGATTACTTTCAAAAGTTTCTAATATTTTTCGCCATTATCTATTTGTGAACCCAACTGATCGATTTTAAAAAAGTAGCTCCAAAAACTCTTTTAAGTATATTGTAAGTAATATAAAACTTACATTTTTTTGTTTGCAATTTATTGTTTTAATTACTAAATATGTTATTATTAATTTCGTTTCGAAAGGGGCTAATTTTGAAAAGTTTGGTTTTAAAATTTTTTTTAGTTTAAAAAAAATGTTTTGAAAACTGATTTCAAACAAGTTTATTATTTGAACAATGGATCAATAGCCCGTCTTAAAACTATTTTTTTATAAGAATTATAATTTTTCTGATATTTGTTATCAACCTTCTCACAATTTTATCTACTACCATAAGCGAAGATAATCTATATATGAAGGATATATAAAATATATAGAAGAAGACATTTTTGGTTTATTGTAATATTCGGTATCATAATATATCAACAAAGTTTTTTTTAAGTTTAGAAAGTTTTAATTTCAACAGAACATGTTTTCTTTTAAACATATAATCAGTAATTTCATATTTTTTATTTTAAAATAAACACGAGTTTACTGTAAATATCCTTTTATGTGCATTCAGAAACATTTTGTTATTCATGTAAACCTAACCGCAGTCTGTCAGTTGAGGTCAATCCTCAGTTCCTGAAGAGCTATTTGGTTTTCACTCAGTTCCTGTAGCCGTCATATTTTGAGACCGCGCTCGGAGCGGCTCTGTTTGCTCCTACGTGCCAGTTCGAAATGGCAAATGCACTTAACTTGAACAAGACGTCTAGAAGCACATACTGTACTGTACTAAATGGAAAAATACTTCTCTCAAGGTAAATTTTAACATTTAAGAAACGATTTGGCGCCACTTGCACACTGCTGAGTACTTCCTTATTGCTTATGATGGAGCAAAGGACATTTTCTGCATACCTGATTGCAGAACAGAAAAACATATATACATATATACTTTCTACTATGAGTAGAGGACGAAACACAAATACACATTTTCTGCAACTACCCAAAATAGTATCTTAAAATCAATTGCGAATTGACTACAACATAAACATAGTCAGAATATTAATTAGAAGCTCTAAAATGCAGTCAACCACAATTTGCGGTTTCAGCAGCACACAATTTGCTACTTGCAATTTGCTAGCACATTGAATGCAAGCACTGTTGAAAGCAACAACAAATTGCTGAGCACGAATAAAAATGCATCTTAATTGCATTTGGAATTTAAGTGAAATTTTCATTAAATTTGTGTGTGTGTGTGAAAATGTCTGCCTCATTTGTGTTGCTTTGTTTTAAACGAATTTTAATCTTTAAGTTTCGAATTGCATTTTATCTCGGCTTCTTTTAGTTGCTTTCGATGCTGGTATCTATCTATTTTGTTTTCATCCTTAATGGTAACACATTATAAACCTTAGCTAGTTTGTTATAGTATTTTTGTCAAGTAAGTCAGTCGCCAAAGCGACTAGTATCATTAGTAGTAAAAATAATATTTGGTGCTGGTACAAATTATTCGTCAAACAACATTAGTTCACACTGAATTTATCAGAATAATGAGTGAATGTAACTGACATAAGTCACCAACTTTTATGTACTATAGAATGGAATACATTAGATCACTTCAGATAGGGACCTATAATCCAAAATATAATATACAATATATAAGTAATAAATCAAATCAAATATCTGTTTGCTGCTTTTAATCAATTGTACTAAATTTAAGATACTAGGTGGATTGATAAGTCAGGTAGACTTCACAATAGGTGGCAACGCCAGAACAATTCCCTTATACTTTATGTATTTGGTAAGTTTTAAACGACAGCTGCGAAAGTTTCGACATAATCATATGTTTATTAGTTAGCTTTTTGTAAATAATTTAAATAGTGCACCTTAGTGATTTTTCATAAAATTGAAAAAACTGAATATCGTTCATTTATAAAATTACTCCATTTGAAAGGAATGAACAATGATGCAATCAAATTGGTTATACCTATATATGTATACAATCTCTGCCACTCAATCGCTTTCTCTTAGTGAAGAATTAAGATAGACGTAAGAACACTATTCTGTAGAAACGTAAATATAATAAATTGAGTCTGTTTCAAACCGTAGACAAGAACGGTCTTATATGTTACTTATATATATATATCAATTGGTAATGGATTCTATTTACGGAAACGTTGCACCATTGTTAACAACAATAAAAAATAGGAAAACTGAATTAAAACGTGGTCGTACTTGTGCTTTTGATGAACAGCGTTCGATCAGGACGAGGTCCGAAAGAGGTAACAGCTGAAAAAAACACTGAAAAAATCCACGATATTGTGTTGTATGATCCAAAAATCAAATTGTGTTCGATGGCAGAGATGACAAACTTGTTATATGAACGTGTATCGAAAATATTACATGAATATTTGTGTATGAAAATGATCAAATTGGCAAGATGGGTGCCGCATTTGCTCACAATTGACCAAAAACGACAACGACTTCGTCATTCAAAACAAAACTTAGAAATGTTTATGCGCAATATAACTGACTGTGAGCGTCGAATAATGACAACTGATAATACATGGATCCATTACTTTATACCTGAGTAAAAACAACACGCCAGAGAATGAGTAGAGCCCGGGGGTAGTGCTCCCAAATGACCACGAACTCAACAATTGGCTGGAAAAGTTTCAAGTGAAATATTTTTCATAGATTATTTGGAAACGGGAAAAACAATAACATCAGACTGCTATGGCATATTATTGGATTGATTGAATAAGAAAATCAAGAAAAAACGACCACATTTGTCAAAGAAAAAAATTTTAATTTTGCGGAATAACGCACTTGCTTCCATATCAAGGAAAACTATGACAAGATTAAATAAATTGCGGTACAAATTGGTTCCTCACATAACGTATTCTCCAGTTTTGGCTCCCAGTTACTATTTTCTGTTTTCAAACTTGAAAAATGACTTCAGGGAAAGAGATTTACATCAAATGATGGCGTGGAATTGGATTCTAAGGTATATTTTGAAGGACTTAATAAATCATATTATTTAAAAGATATCTAAATGTTGAAAGATCGTTGGACTCTGTGTGTCGAGCTAAAAGAAGATTATATTGAAGCACAAAATACAATTTTCCAAAAAAAAATGCGACCGGGTATTTACCAATCCAGGTAGTATTACTAACCGATTTTACAGTTGTTATTTTTGTCTCAAATACTGACTTAAGTTATGCGTAAGTCATTAACGTTAAATCATACTTATGCTAGTATTGAAACTTTATATATGACTTTGATATCGATCCTTACTCGTTTTAAATAATTTTTATTCTTGTTAATAATTTATACTTAAACGAAAAATGAGTTTTTGATTCAAATATTGTGCGTTGTAGTTCTCCAAATATCTGAAACCGAAAACAAGCTTCAAACTAACCTACGAGTTTTTATGTTTAAGAACTCAGAAATGAAGTCCGGACAATAGACTATGCGTAGTTTCGTTTCATGTCGATATAAGTAACGCTAGTAAAACATTCCTAAGCTATATGTATATTACGTTCTTTGAAAAAAGATGAGCAACTACTAAACACTTTGTACGTACAAGGACAGGATAAAAAAATCGAAAAGTATTAAATATATTATATACACTACAAAATATAGTTGGCGCGAAGTTAAATAATATTATTGACTATACAGTAACCTATAAATATAGGTTACTGTATACACTGAGATGAAGAAAATCGAAAATGTTAAATGCATCCTTTTGGATTCAACAGTTTTTACTACTTTCACAGCTATTTATTTCATATGAATAACTTATTTTAAGTTTTTCTTATTCGACCAAGACTGACTGTAACAAAAATGTATACCATATTGTACCCGTAACAGTCACTAACAGTTGCAATTGCTAGGGGGCCAGCCACAAATAAAGATACTATAAGACTTCGCTGGTGGCGTTGTTCCGTTTGCAATTAGCAAAATTGTTGCTGATACCAGGAATGGTATTGTTTGCAATTGAATACAATAGTTGCTGGCTGCTTCCCGTAGCAACAGCAATAAATTCAGTGGAACAACAATATTCATTACATATTGCTTTTATTGCATTTTTAATTATATTCTTAGAATATTTTGAAAACTTAGGGTTCAATAG